TTCTTGTCCAACCACACGCCCAGTGCTGGTGGGCATCTGACATTTGTTGAGAGCCCTGGACTTAGCTCTCTCTTGGTTTTAAGGTAGGAGGAAAAGGGGGTTATTTGGGCGGCAGAAGAAACTCAGAAAGGGAGAACAAAGTACAGCCACTGATTTGGTCTGTCCCCCGTCCATTGATAGGCAGCTTGGATGGACAGCAAGTTCATCCTCATTTCAAGTTAAAATTCCTCTTCCCATAACTATCTCAGACATTGGGCTGCCATTTTCTCATGAAGACAGCTTGGCATAAAGGATAGCAGGCTGGACTGGGAGTCAGGAACGTCCACACACCAATTCTCCCCCAAACCCTTGAACAAGACGCCTCACGTCTCTGTGACTCAGTTTCTTCATCCTGTAAAGTGAGGTTTGAAGGCTTTTCTGCTGACTCTTAGGATTTTGCCACCATTCCCCACCCCTCATTTGACTTTTATGAGTTGTCTTCCCCAATTAGAATGTAAGCTTCTTGAGGACACCCACTGCCATTCTTTTTCGCTTGTATTTGTATCTAGTTCTTATTAGCACAGTTCCTAGAACACAGTAAGCACTTAAGAAATGCTGCTGGGCTTGCTTTGACGCCCTTTAGGGTCCTTTCCAGTCCAGAGTCCATGATCTTGCAGTGGCCATAATAATAGCACACAGGGCTGACGACAAGCAAATTCTCGTCAGGTTTGTAAAGTCATTTATAAACCTTAAAGTTTATAGGAATGCTAGTTATTATTGTCAATTTTGTTGTTGTTGTTTGGACTGTGACCCCATTTGGTGTTTTCTTGGCAGAGATATTGGAGGGGTTTGCCATTTCCTTTTCCAGCTCATTTTACAGATGAGGAAACTGAGGCAAACAGGGTCAAGTGACTTGCCCAGGGTCACCCAGCTAGTCAGCGGCTGAGGCCAGATTTGAACTTAGGAAGATGAGTCTTCCTGATTCCTGGCCTGGCACTCTGGGCACTATGGCGCCACCTAGCCGCCCCATCATCATCATTATTGATGTCATTATTATTATCCTACTCAATCAGGTTCCATCCTTTACAATCTTATCTCACACTTTCTGCAGCACACTCTATGGGCCACATGAAGGACAGGGACTAAGCCTGTGACTTCATTGGTACAGGGAAACCCCAGATATATACACATCATAGAAAGGTAGGTAGACAGCTATTATAAATAATACATATGCTATTATTTTAACAGCTAACATTTATATACTGCTTTTAGATTTAAAAAGAATTTTACACATAATCTCATTATACTCACATCCCAGGAGGTAGGTGCTATTATTCTCCCCATTTTACAGATGAGAAAACTTCAACTGAGAGGGGCCAATAAGGGTCACATAGACAGTAAGTGTCTAAGGTAAGATTTGAATTCAGATCTTCCTGACTTCAAATCCAATATTCTGTCCACTACTCCACCCACCATAAGGAAACTCTCTCTACAGATGTAAGTCAGTACCTTCTCTGCACTTTTGGTCTTAGAGGGTTGCCTGGGGGCACCAAGGGGTTAAGTGTGAGCCCTGGCTTAGTCAGCCAGTATCAGTCAGAAATAGTACTGGAACTCAGGCCTTCTATGCTTCAAAGTTGGCCCCCTCCCTTCCACGCCAACATGAGGCCTTTTCAGTGTTTGGTAAACTGAGGCTAATTGCTACCCTCTGTACACACTCTGCCTTCTCCCAACTTTGCCCATGTTCCTGTGGATCTTTCCCTCTTCTCTTTCTCTAAATGTCCTCAAATGTTCATTAAAGTCTTTGAATTCCTTCACGCTCCAAGCCTGATAACCACCTCCTCCAGGAAGCCTTCCAGACCTAGCAAACATCCCCCTGTGCCACCACCTCTCCCTCCTCAGATTTGTCATAACACTTTGCCTGGACCAAGGCCTCTAGCTCTTTAGGGACCCTGGAGAGAGATCCCCGTCCCTCCCTGCTGGGAAGTGGCCGGAAACTCTGAGCAGCAGA